CTTGACGGGTGACAACAGCGCTTCAATCATCCTTGCAACGCAAGATCGCATGCATTTCGGAAAGTGGAGAACGAGAGCATTTGCTTTGAGATGCAGCTGGCTGCGAGATCAGATCCATCTTGAAGAGGTGGAGGTCATGCATACGCCGGGTGAGCATCTTGTAGCAGATATGCTCACGAAAATCTTATCCAAAACACGCCTGAAGCAGTTGAGGAGTCTTGGGGGCATTTTGCCCGCATCAAAGACTGACGTATGAGCCAGCTGAATGTTGGACGTGACTTTTGCTTTTGTATTCTGGAGTCAGGCCGAAGGAATAGTCCAGCCTATGTATATCTCCAGATGTAAGTGCAGGGACATGCTGCGGTTATGCGACTTTTGTAGATCCTCTTCGGCAAGTCGAGGAGGAGTGTGCGCATGACCCCTGCTAAGGATGACACGCACTAAGGTGTGTGCTTGGCCCCTGCGCTAAGGATGACACGCACTGAGGTGTGTAGCATGGCCCCGGTGCAAGAATGACACGCACGCCGAAGGTGCGATAATCGTTGTGAATTGCCAAATGGCTCAAGTGAGCATTCAAGCGAAAAGCAGGAGTTTGAGAAGCTCGAGCCCCATCTCTCCCAGTTCGGGAGAGTGGGGCATGTCAGGGTCCACTTGGGAGCTTGATATTGCAGGCGGGGTCGCTTTCAAGGTGTCAGGTCTGAAAGGCGAGAGGCTTGGGGATCAGGTGAGGGTTGTAAGTAATGAACTCCCCGGCCCCAACCCACTTTAGTATGGTGACGGACTCACAATCACCAGACCAGCTTCAGGAACAACACAACTTGCAAATAGGCAAGAGGAGCATGCGGGACATTTAAGGACTTGAAGTAGTCCATATTACGGTCCAGAGTTTCTTGTTTTTTGTTTTCGTTTTCATAGAGCACTGTAGCTCCAGCCGGCCAGTGTCGGAGCAGGGATTCTTCCGCTCAGGTCATGGGAATCGCAAGCCAGACGATTGGATGATTTTACAACCGCGTTTGACAACATGATAGCTAGGTATCGATTTGGGATAATTCTTGAATCTTGAACTTCCATTGTTCTTTAACACAGAGCCCCGATTAGACATAGTTTTGGGGACCGTGTTCGTTTCGTCAATACAAGACCGGGCCATGCGTGCCTGTGGCCGGTCCCGGCTGCAGATGGTCGTTGCAGGTGCCAGGGATTTTTTGGAACACACAGAGACAGAGTTTTGTCCCTTGTCTTGAGGCAGATATGTTGGAGCACGAGCCTACTCTGGCCGTGGCCACAGTGCGTACTGTCTGTGCTCGTGTCGGGTCAGTCTTCAGCTTTTGCAACTCAGCACTTGTGACTGTTGAGTCGTCTGGAACATGTTTTGCTTTTCAGGTTCGGCGGCTCCGCAGAACCAACACAACAAGGCGGTGAACGAGGTCCTCTGGCACTGGCATTGTGCCCCACTGCCACTGCTTGTCATTGATTTTGCAAGGGTTGCGTCCTGCTCGTGACATGGAACGTTGTGCCGAAGAGTTGCGTGCGACATGAAGAAGTAGCAAGCTGTTGATGAGAAGAGCGACATGTGATTGCCTGGACCCTGAACCCGTGAACCCTAAGCTCTGACTGAACCCCCAGCCTAGCCTCTGCAGAAGGCGCCTGCCGCAACAGAAATGTTCCTGCCGGGACCTCTGGGACTCTTCGAAGGGATCGGCCTGGAGCGCGTGTTTTAAATGACCGTCAGGCCGCATCACCTGCTCCCGCCGAGAGCCGAGCAGACTTCGTGAGTTTGCATGGTTTCGACGTCTTCATGGTCCGGCTGGTCTTGAGGTGGGGTTCACCCATCTTCTACTTTGCACTGGTGGCAGTCTGCTCCCCGAGCCAAGCTTCGGAGTGCAGCGCGGGTGTCTGTTGGACGTCCTGTTTTGATCCGAGGTCCCACTCCTGTGCATATACAACGAGATGCAGGAGTCTGAGCTTGCTTCTGTAGATCGCACGCTGAATCATGACCGGGCAGGACTCCAAGATGGACGAGGTCAACCAAGCCATGCGGGAGGTGGCCACACTCGGTTTGCTACACCCACTTCTGGTAACGTGTTTCAGACCTTTCCTTCCGGCATCGGGACCCTAAACCCTAAACCCGGATATTGTCAGACAGCATGAGCCCTGTGACCGAGACCCTAAAAGCCCACAGCCGTCTGCCACTCGCAGGAGCGGCTGAAGCGCCGGGAGGAAAAGCTTTCCGCGGAGCAGGAGGAGTGAGAGAAAAAGCGGGCGGAGACCAGGGGGTTTAGGTTTTAGGGTTTAGGGTTTCCGGAGCTGTTTCGCTCTCAGTCTTTGATCTCACTGCTCAGACATCCGTCGCCCGAGGCAGCATCTCAATCCCCCAAGCTTAAAGTTTTAGACTCCACCCGAAACCCCGAGTTACACGCTCCCCCGCGGCTTTCCGATTGGCTCCGATCGAAGCTTAGTCCAAGACGCGGACCACGGCGACTGGCAAGGTGCCCCAACTGATCACTGCTCGTCTGCACCCCAGCACCACTCAACCCTAAAGCCTAAAACCCTCAACCCTAAAGCCTAACCTTTTGCCTGCACCCAAGCCTCTGAACCGGACCCTTGCGCTCCGAGCCCCTAAGACCCCAAACCCTAAACCCTACCTTGAACTACCATAACCTACTTGTCGTAGGTCCTTGTTCTAATCCCTACAATAGAGTTTGTAAGGACCCTACAAAAAAACGTAGGTTTTGGTAGTTTAAGGTGGATTTGAATTCCGAGCTTCTGGCTTTTGATGCTCCAAGTGTGTCTGTCGACAGGTTGCCATGCAGAGGGTCCGAGCTCCCCCGGGCCAGGCTGGAAGGGACGTGGTCCTGCACCCTAAACCCTAAACCCTAAACCCTAAACCCTAAACCCTAAACCCCAAACCCTGAATCGAGTCTCAGTCCGAGTTCCTTGGGGTGCTGTTGATTATGCTTTCTATATCAAATTATGCTCTGTTGTGTTATCATTTATGATAGCATGCTATATTACCGTACAGTACACTGCGTTACATTACAGTACATGATGTTCTATTACATAATGTTGTACCATATGATCCCATATTTCACTATGTCTCGATGTATTTCACTATGGGAAGAAAGAGACATCGGGATTTAGGTCTTCGTGGTGTAGGGCTCCCTTGCAAGGCGTTGGTGCCGCATGGAGAGAAGAAGAATCCTTACCAGACCGATGACCTGGGTCTCTCGATGTACACGTTGGGGGCCCTAGCTCAAGAGCCTGGGGTTCTTGTTAGGGGAGTTAATTTAAGTTACCACTATAGAGATCTGTCGCAAACTTTATGGTCTCTTTGTTGTGGTTGCTTAACTGAGTTGGAGCTGAGCGCAGCCCAAAAACACCTCGTGTGTCTTCCGCCTCAGGTGCCCTCCCAACGTCAAGGGCCTCAGCGGTGCGTGTTCTTCTTTTGTGTTTTGTGTTTGTGTGTGTGTGTGTCTACCTCCTCCGAGCGCGTCTTCGCGAGGAAGAAGTCAGCATCCGCGAGTTCGAGGAGCCCGTGGTTGCTGCTCTGAGTGAAATCCACTCCCTGAGCGCATCACGCTTCAGGTCAGACGAATAAAAGGGGCTTTTGATCTGAAAGCACCGGCAGCCTACACCCTAAACCCTAAACCCTGCTGCAGGATTTCACGGTGAACCGGCTGAAGCTTCTGCACCTCATCGACAAGGCTTGCGGCGGCCGCAGCAAAGCCGGCACCAGCAGGGGCCCTTGATTCCTGTACATCCTCAGGTGGACCCTGATACAAAGCAGTGAAAAGTCGCACACCCCTTTACCTTCTTCTTCAGAGCTAAGGTTCCGAGTTTCGACTGGAGAACATGGGCGCCCTGAGGCGGCTGCTGCTGCCGCTAATGCTGCTGATGATGATCAGAATGCAGAAGAAGATGTTGAACGATGATGCAGAAGAATATTATGATGAAGATGATGTTGACGAAGCGGATGATGAACATGCTGGTTTATGATCATGACGATGCCGGATAGTCAGGCTCTAGCAAATATTGCGGCAATCCAATTCCAGGACGTTGCTTGCTAGGTTTCCGGATGATCGAATCCTGGCACGTTTGGAAGTCCTCATCAGGCCGCAGCTGGCACGAGACCTGCGCGATTGTGGCCTGAGCTTAGGCCGGCACGGGGACATGCTAGGCCAGGGTATCCCTCGGCGCTGCTCGGTGCCTTGTGATTCGGGGCTTCTCTCCAACATGCTGGAAGCAATTTCGGTCCCGTAGGTGGCATGTCTTGCGTTTGTCGGTGAGGCTACCCTAAAGCAGATCGCGTCAATGGCTTCCTTCTCGAAAAGGTTGAGTTTCAAAGTGCGACACCTACTTGTGCCTGATGGCACTGCACGGATATATGTGGCACCGGTGGAGCAACCCGTGGCGGTTTCAAGGTTGTCTGCCACGTGTGGGAACGGATCCTTCGAGATGTCAGGTCGAGACAACATCTCCCACTTCGCCTTACGCCTGGCTTTCTGCAAGAGCAACGAGGCTCCAGCGGTTGCCTAGACCCTAAACCCTCAACCCTAAACCCTCAACCCTAAACCCTAATACCCTAAACCCTAAACCCTAATACCCTAATACCCTAAACCCTAAACCCTAATACTCTAATACCCTAAACCCTAAACCCTAATACCCAAAACCCTAATACCCTAAACCCTACACCCTAAACCGTGGAAGCCCCATGGCAATGAGGCTCGCGAGTGGCTGCTGAAGCAGGAACAGCGCCTGTTCGTCTTGCGCTTCGAGGCTCTCTGGATTGTTGGAGGGTTTCGGGCCCAGGAGTAGGGCTCTTTGTGCAAGTTGATGCCAGGGCCTGAACACAGACGCAAAGGAGGCAGGGGGCACCATACAGAAACTCTTGGAGTCGTTTCTGGGCGCTTGGCAGGCTTTCGTGGAGTCCACTGGCATTAGAGCTCAGAGGCGAGATTCCGCAGGGCAGGGAATCCCTGAACCCTAATCCCTAATCCCTAAACCCTAATCCCTAGTCCCTGAACCTACACCCTACTTATGCCCCAAACCCTGAACCCTATATTCCTTAATCCCCCAACCCGAAGCCCGAATCCCTAATCCCTGAACCCCAAATTGCCAAACTCGGCCCGGCCGGGAAGGTTCGAGGAGCCGTCCGAGGGCGGCCCGACTCTCTCGATGCTTCAAAAGTGCACGGCTGGCGTACCTTGGACAAATGGCGGCTTATAGTACAAGTTCCATGATGGTAATAGTATAGTATGGTATGGTATGGTATGGTATGGTATAGTACAGCGTAGTATGCTATACTATATGGGACAGTATACAATTGATTCTATAATATAGTATAGTACAGAACATCTATATATATATATATATATAGGTATATAGTGGGCTATACATGATATAGTCTAAAGCCGTTATTTTATTCAGCCATGCTCTGTGGCCTTGGGGCGGACTCGTTGAGGTGAAGACCTGGAGAGACGGGTGGGAGCCTCGGTGTAACCGCCGCACTGCATGTAACACAATATACTGCACTAAACTTAATACAAGGTAATATAGTGAAATGTAACATAAGAAAGTAGAATACAGTACTAGAATCAAAGATAATATAGTACAGTATAGTACCGTAAAGTATATTGCAAGCGGCGATTTGCGGAGGCGCGCGGAGGTTGAGCAGGTCTTTTATGCGATGTCCTTCACCGAGGTGCCTTCCGCAGTGGATATTTAGTTTGGGCATCGCCCTGCACCTGTTTGGCAGGTACCCCCTGCATTTATCGCAGGGAGGAGGGTGGTGGTCAAGAAGGGCAAGGCAGCAGATGGGGCAGTGACGCAAGTTCGGGAATCCTATCGCAGAGAGATTGCGCCTCTTCGCAGGCCTACGTTCCTGCGAGCTCACTGAAAATGATCGTTGCAAAGAAATTCAAGGACCAGTCTCAAGTCAAGCAAAAGTTGCAAGATGTTGCGGTTGTTCGCCACATTTAGAGGTCTTGTGTATGCCTGAAGAGACGAGGGAAGCCCACAAAGAAACCCATTGCAGGCACACTTTCCGGGTAGTTCGTAGCTGTCTAGCAGAGTGGTCGAAAGCCAGCCGAAAGCTTTGACGGAGGACCTCCTGGCAGCAAGCTTGGATGTGGCCTTCCAAGGTGCGCCGTTGCGTACCCCAACATCCTAAATGAGCCCAAAACCATACTGTAAATCCTGAAGGCAGAAACCTGCACCTGATCTCATCTGCTGTGAGGCATCCACATGGCCCTGGCCGATCCTCGAGTGGGTCTCTTCCTGCGGCAGCTGCAGGCTCTTGTGAAGCATACGTTTCCAGCTTCACACGAGCTTCCCTAAGGGCTAAGGGCTTAAGTTTACTGGCGTTTTTAGAAGCAGGGTTAGAAGTTATAAGTGTCTTAAGTAGGGTGAACGATAGATATATGCATATAGAGCTATAGCGAGTTGTGCCTGGTCACAGGAGATGGGCATGCAGCTGGTGCTGCCCATGCGCACCTCTTCCACGGAGGAGACCGAAGCTACTCAGACAGCTCCCTGAACCCTAGACCGAACCTTAAACCCTAAACCCTGAAGCCTAAACCCTAAACCCTAAACCCTGAACCCTAAACCCTAAACCCTGAACCCTAAACCCTAAACCCTAAACCCAGCTCCTGCGGGCTGAAGGAAGCCGGCGAGAAGCTGAACCTCGGCAACTTCGAGGAGCTTCTCTCCCGCCGACTCCCTAAATCAGGGTTTAGGGTTTAGGGCTTGGGGTTTCGGCTTTAGAGTTTAGGGGACTTCCTAAATTAGGGTTTAGGGTTTAGGGTTTAGGAGACTTCCTAAATTAGGGTTTAGGGTTGGGGTTTAGGGGACTTCCTAAATTAGGTTTAGGGTTTCGGGGACTTCCTTAATTAGGTCCCGCCGGTCCTGCTCTACTATATCAATCAGGGCACGGCCTAGGCTTTCCTGCCCTGCGCTAGGGTAGGGTAGGCTGGTACGCGTAGAGCAGAGCAGAGCAGAGCAGAGTGGAGCAGAGTGGAGTAGTCTGGTATAGTGGGTGGGGGGACCCCAAACCCTAAACCCTAAAACCCTGAAACCCTACACCCTAAACCCTAAACCCTCAAAGCCCTCAGCCCCAAAACCCGAAACCCGGGCTACTGCGTGTTGACGGCCTGGGAACTGAGGCTCCCTGCCTCCCTGCATGCGCCGGCTCGTAGAAAGGCAGCCGCCCGGCAGCACTGGGCAAAGGGTCTTTTTCAGATGTGGGGGTTCATGGCTTCCAGGGTTTCAAGGGTTTCAAGGGTTTAGGGTTCGAGGTTTGAAGGGTTTGCGTCCTCGGATGCTTCCGACGGCTTGCAGTCCTCTAAGCTGAGGCGGGAGACCAAGAAGCACTTGAAGCACGCAGGGAGGTGCCGGTCTCGGTGAATCACCGAAGGGAAGTCTTTAAGTGGACGTCGTCGTGCTTTCGGAGGCTTCAGCTGCGCCCCTTCCTGAAGGCCTGAGCTCGGAGAGCAGGCGCTGAGGGGCGAAGGTGAGCCTTGCATGGGCAGGATTGCGGCTTCTCCTTCGAAGACTCCGTCAGCTGGTGGAAGCAGGAGTTCTATGATTCTCTGGACCTGGTGAGACATGTTTTCCTCTTCTCCACTTCTGGCAGGAGCTGTGCCGCGATCCGACCATCGATTCCGGGAAGTTCGACAAGTGCCGCCGGCGCTCTTATCTGATGCACCTGCAGAAACGGCCCAACCTCCCTTGCGGGGTGCAGAAGTCTGACAGCAACGGAACCCCGAAAAACCCTAAACCCTAAACCCTAAACCCTAAACCCAAGCGACCCCAAATGTCTCCCAGGAATTACATGTACGATCTCGAGCACGCTTACGGGAAGAAGGGCCACCTTCAAGGCCCTGTCAGGATACCATACTGTGGATGGACAAAATCCTGCATGACCTTATATACCTAAACTATGGGATTCATGGTACTATACTATATTTGGGTCATGCAGGATTTTGTCCATCAACAGTATGTCGAGTT